CTCTCATTGGACAAAGCCCCATGATGGACAGAAATCTCTCATTGGACAAAGCCCCATGATGGACAGAAACCTCTCATTGGACAAAGCCCCATGATGGACAGAAATCTCTCATTGGACAAAGCCCCATGATGGACAGAAACCTCTCATTGGACAAAGCCCCATGATGGACAGAAATCTCTCATTGGACAAAGCCCCATGATGGACAGAAGCATCTTGTTGGACAAAATCCCTATGATGGTCAGAAGCCTCACTTTGGACAAAGCTGCATGATGGACAGAAGCTCCTGGTTTGGTAAAGCCACAATGATAGATTTCATATTGAGAAAATCTGTTCACATAAACCTCAAATTTGTAACAGTTTTGGGAGCCCTTACTTTCTCCAACCAAACCAGGAAGTGAGGCAACAAAACTGAAAACTGAACCAAATACTTTCCATTCTGTTAAAAGTTAGATGTTAGTTGATACACTATATGAAAACAAGTATGTGGAAACCTGACTATCTCACCCATATGTGGTTTTTCTCCAAACTGTTCGCCACAAAGTTGAAGCACACAATTGTATATGATGTCTTTGTATGGTGTAGTATTACAATTTCCCTTCACTGGAACTAAGAGGCCCAAACCTGATCCAGCATGACGATGCCCCTGTACACAAAGAGAGCTCCATGAAGACATGGTATGTGAAGGCTGGTGTAGAAGAACTCGAGTGTCCTGCACAGAGCCCTGACCTCAACCCCACTGAACACCTTTGGGATGAACTGGAACACCGACTGCACCCCAGACATCCTCACCCAACATCAGTGCCTGATCTCACTAATACTCTTGTGGCTGAATGATCACAAATCCCCACAGCCACGCCCCAAAATCTAGTGGAAAGCCTTCTCAGAAGAGTGGAGCTTATAATAACAGCAAAAGAAAAAGTGGGATTAATCTGGAATGAGATGTTTAAAAAGCACATACGTGCGTGGTGGTCAGGTGTCCACAATCTTTTGCCCATATAGTGTACATGATAATGCTGGCTAGTGAATAAATAGTAGGTAGTAAATATAATCTACGAACAATTAACCTGTCAGGGGTGCAAAAGTACTGGCACCCCTGCAGCTGCTCCCTGGGTGCAGGAGTCCTGTCCTGTCAGTGCCATGTTTAGGGTTTCTTTTTGTTGTTGTTGTTGTCCTCTCATGATTGACACATGCATAATACATTATTGTCCTCCTTCTGCTTTTCATCTTTTCACTCGCCTTTTTTTTTCCTTCTTTCACTGACGTCACGTGACGCAGGCGCCCCACAGGGACTCCTCTGAGCAGAGAGAGAGAGAGAGAGAGAGCGAGAGAAAAGTGAAATGTCGAAGTTAATGTGAGCGCGTTGTAATACAGAACAGGAAGCAGAGCAAAGGGGGGAAAAAACTAGAGGTTTTGCTAATAAAGACCAGGCACGTTGGGTAAACTTTAGAGAACTTTAGCAGTGAGGTTTCATTTTATTGTTTTTTTTTTTAGCTATGGTGGGAAACGAGAGGAAATTTTTTTTATTGTATTTGGGACTTGGATGAAACGAAAAATTAGTTCAGCACCAACGGAGTAGCAGCAGCAGAAGAAGAAGAGGGTCGCTAACCATTTAGCGTAACTAACTCCCATTTCTTAGCTTCTTCACTTGTCATATTTCTAGTCCAGGTGTTGGAGAGATTTCTATCCTCCTCATTTTTTCTGTTGAATCCAACACCAGGCGAAAATTAAAGCACCCTGAGAGTGAGGGAGTGAGTGAGTGAGAGAGAGAGAGAGAGAGACAGAGTGAGTGAGTGAGTGAGTGAGTGCCTTAGCGTTGGGGAGTGTTGATAAGCAGCTAGCTTGCTATAGCTAACAACATTGCGGCGGCTAACATGGAGGAAGAGGTGCATGGATGTGTTAGCATCATGGCAGCACTCTTATATAATCCAACAACAAAATCGCGCTCGGTTTTGGCTTCCTTTAGACGCAGAAATGTGGACGTGGTTTGATTTTGTGGGCTGAAATCAAACAGGATCAACGCAAACATGGATTCCAACCCTCTCATAAGTGGTGAGTTATTTCCCTCTTGTTTATTCATATTTCTTTGTGTGTGTGTGTGTGTGTGTGTGCGCGTGTGTGCGCGCGCGCGCGTGCACTCTGTACTCTCTGTACAAGTAAAAGAGCCAACCAGACTTTAATATCTGACTATAATCATGAATCCGTGTGGACTTGTGTCATTAAGGAGTGCTGATTTTCTAGCTAGCACGCTTAGGAAGAAAACAAGGCTTCAAGTTCACACCTTGCTCACTGCATACTGATTTTTATTTGATGTGCACTGCGCATCAGTGCTTTGCAAGAAAAAAAAGGTGATGAATGAGTTATGGTTTGTAGTGCATGCTTCCTGATTGGTTTGCATGCACGCATTGGTTGCTTTTGTGCCAAAATCCCCTTTAGCTACCTGTTGGACATGCATTCAGAGTGCTTCAGCCTTGCTCTGTGACAGTCATGCGAAGATGTTTTACATGATTTATTCATCTTCTGAAAGCGGTGGGTGTGGAGACTGTTCCAGGAACGCTGGTTGGGACATCGCAGGGTAACACACATGAGTCTCTAGCGTGTCTCCCCGGCTCGTTTTCGAGACGTGGGAGGAAACCGGAGAACCCGGAGGAAACCCAGACAGACACAGAGAACGTGCCACCCAAGCTCAAGATCAAAATACGAGCTGTGAGGCAACAACGTGACATGTTTCCACTTAAATCCGATAACTGTCTCTTGAGAAATTCGGAAGTTGTCATCAGATATCAGATACAACTTTGAGGCTGACTCAGTCCGGCTT